ATTCTGGCTGCGAATAGTTCATGATAAGTTGCAGTTTGAGCTTTCATGAGTTCATGATAAGCTGCAGTTTGAGCTTTCATGAGTTCGTGATAAGTAGTTCCAAACGTTATGTAGACACGATATAGTGTGCCTCAATGAAGTTTGGTCATGAAAGTAGATCAGCCCTCAACTCTTTATTTAGGAACACTTAGCGTCCCTACGTTGCATCGCTGATGGACCACCGTTCCCACGGGTACCTTATGCTGACGCTCTGCAGTTGCTTATCGATAAGAAACAAAAAGTCACAGGAAGGGGATTCAGCAAGCAGAACGAGTCATTCTTGGTCGGTTAATCTGCAATGAATTCCCGCTTGTTGTTGGAAACCGTAAGGCCGTTATAATTTCAGGTGAACTATCACAATTCTCCCATCTTTATCACTCATTTTCCTTCCGATCAAAAGCCTTTCTACATGCGGCGTTCAGCTGACGACAAAGTGGCGAGTGCTGGTATCGTTGTTATCCTTTGACCCCTTACCGCTACTATTCCTTTTTTAGACGGAGTCTTTCGACCTACTATGCCCTTTTGTGGGTGAACTCGCTGGAGGTTCCATTCGTGAACCATCGCTAGATGCCCTTCAAAAGCGGACTCCGAACATTGATTGGTACATATTTGCTCTTTTTTAATTACCGTGGCATTCTATTTTCTTATTGGGATAGCGCCATATGAGCTCACTGAATTTGACAATTCTCAACAGTTGCGTAACACTTTAGTAAAAGAATTTTCGAGAAGGCTAAAGATCTGATCCAAAATGAGGGAACTTTGAAAGAAGCTCCTCACTGCTTCATTTGTAATATTCTCCATTGAAGTTGGCGTTTATGAGGGGAAGGGTCTTTTCCCGGCCTCCGGGACTTCTTGGAGCTGAGTTATGAATTTTTTTTCGCAAACTCCGCACACTTTTGGTCTGCCCGATCACCGCTTACAGTTGGCCACCGCTCCTTCATCCACCTCTATCCACCTTTTTTCCAGTCTCGGGGACTCCTTGGAACCGAAGTTATGAATTTCCGTCGCAAACTCCGCCCCTTTGGACATGCCCCGCCCACCATGGAGTTGGGCTCCACTCCTTCACCCACTCTATCCACCTTTTTCCGGCTCACTAAGACTTCTCCGGCCCGAATTATGAGGACTCGTAGAAAACGCTGTACACTTCAGATCACTGCGCGCCCGCCCATTGTGGGCGGACCTCCGCCAACGTCGTGTATGCTGGAGCACCTTATACATTGCTCCCTACATGTTTCCCTCAATTTGTTTTCTTCTCTGTAGGCTTTCTCCCAACCGAGTTATGAAATTTTTCATAAAGCACTGCTTTTTTAGAGAACGCCCCGCCCACCGGGGGTGGGTCTCCCTAATTCGATGTGACTTACCAATGCACACCTTTACCCACTTTTTGGCCCAGTTTCGAGGTTGTTTTGTCACTGAAATCGAAATCTTGGTCTTCGGTACAGTTCATTTCGACGCACGCCACGCCCTCTGTGGGCGGGGCTCCGCTTAGCTGATGTGTGTTTTGTATTACGTGAGACCTTGCCCACCCATCCCACACTTGACCCGGTCCCTCCAGGTGGATCAGAACGGAGACAGACGCGGACGAAGCGTTCCGGGAGTGAAGTAGGATAGGATTACATTTCATATTCAATAGGCCATGGCGACCTGAAAGGGTTCTCCTTCTCTGCTTTCTATGGTGAAGTTACCATACTTATCACCATTCACACGCTGTAACGTGATGAACCGGATAGCTGATATCGGCAATGAACCGCGAGGTTGAAAGCTTTTTACCATTTGACTGAATTGATATCATAGTTACTCAACGATTCTACGTAGTTAATTTCGTAACGCGAATTGCTGGCGTAAAAGCAGTTATTCTACAAAAACAAGCGGTCTGCATTAACTTACTCTTTTTCGCGTTTTGATGCTATCTTTAGCTTCACAATTCTTCCTCACCCTACCATAGCCAAACATTGGCCGGACCATTACCATTCACCCTCATTCGATGTTGGTGTTTTTCTTTTAATGGGCTGCATAATCATGTCCATTTGAGGTACACGGAGCTCAGGGAACGTGGCAAGCCGATATCTGGAGGTTTTGGGCTAGGCTGTTGAGAGGCTCTTGCAGTTTCTACTTGGCGTGCCGAACATCAAAGACACTATTCCATTTCCGAGATGGTACAAGCATTGCCAGTGTTGATAACGGCCTTTTGGAGGAATTGTTTAGGTATAGTCGTATTTGAAATTGATATTATTTGAAATTGTTAAGACGTGTTTTTTGTGCTGAATTCGTGCTACTCATATTCATATGTGTACATATTTTATTAGCTATATTCATTTTGCCTTGTTTACGTTGCTGTCGTTGAAAATGCCATAAAGACTTTATCACATTTCTAGCCCATTTATTAAAAATGAGGGACGCCATCTTCATACTGTTTCTCTGTACACTTGCTGGTGTCGTGAAATTTAGCCATGTCAATTGTTTTAGAGTGATGGTGAAGTTCAAGAGTCGATATATTCTTCTGGAAATTCACAGTGTGTCTGAAGGCAAATTGTCTTTATCTCCGTCAATGCTTTTTTCGTCTATTGCTGAGAATGTAGGAGAGTTCCATGGCGATTTTGGATTTGCACTTTGCCGTTCTGGGTTAGCGGTATGAACTTACATTTCCTAGAGCTACCTAAGGCTGGTGTCAGAGTTCGCGATCCGTCGCAGGTTTCGCGCGATTTTCGCGATCCAGCGATTCACGCGACGGGTCACGGAAATCACAAGTGCCCGATCAATACTGCAAGGCGTCAAGCAGAATTCGCAGCAGGATTGTTAGCACCAAGCAGTGTTCATCGGGCACTTCCAACTCCTGTGATCCATCGCAGGTTTCGCGCAAATCGCGAAAATCGCGCGAAATCAGCGAAACCTGCGACGGATCGCGGACTCTGACACCAGCCTAAATCTATTAATTTATCCAACCAGTTGATCCTACTGCTCTGCTTAGGAATTGTGTTTTATCTTAAGGTAAAAGTCGTCGACGGCGATGTGGCACTTATTCGCGTCGAATCTAGCAGTGAGAAGTTTGTAACAAGCGTGTTACCGTTTATAACTACCATCCAAGGAAACGAAGTTGTGCTGCGATCCCTTTTTGTTGGTCAGTCAGTAAAAATACTAACCCTCTCCCATCTAGAATAAGTTGTTTTGTCCAATGCTTCTGAGCTGTTACAGGTCGAAGTATCCGAGCATGTGAGAAATTCCTCATAAAATACAGAAGAAACGAGTTGTATAGCATGTTGAAATCTGCCAAATCTGGAGGTAATTAGGTGAAAATTTCACGTCTATATGTGTTCACAAGAACTACAGTGTTTGTTCTAGTCGAGAGGAACGCCATACTGAGAGCGCTGAATGATGTTAGTGGAGAGCTCAAGGAAATGCCGGCTCGAACAAAGCCTTCTACATCATCCTCAGCGTGTTGATTCTCGTTTTTGTTGAGCACTTGTTCGATAATGTAACAAATAGGCTGGGCACGAGTCTAAATAATTTGATAGACGAGCTCTCAACGGGATAGGTATTTCGATTTTTTTGGGTGGGAGTTGAGAGGTCCAGTAGAAACTGTGGGCAAGAAATGATAAGGGAAGAGCACTTTTGAGAAAATTTTAATTTTTTTCACGCGTCGTTCCAAGAATTCTGGGAGCATCAGAGATCTCAATAAATGGAGCTAGAGCTTGTTCAAGTGTTGTAGCTGTTCTAGCTGTCGCAGGCAGGGGTCAAGCGTGCGTTGAGGAATCCTCGACACGTCGCAGGGGGGGGGGTCGTATTGGCCCGCTGGGTGGAAGAGATCGAGCCATTTTGATGCAGTGGGATCATCACCGTCGGAAGACAAATATCAAGGATGAGTCGATGCCAGGCCAGAGGATTTCCAATGAAAATGATATTTCACCCACACAAAATTTTCGTGATTCTGAGGCGTCCGGTAATTCTTAGTTACTTCAGTGTTTTATCACCACACAAGTTAAAGAATCTGAATTTCGCACGCTTTCCAAGAGATATTTCATCTTTCAAGTAAGACCCCGAATCTGAAGGGATGTGAGGTACACGGCGCATCCGAGAAAGGGTCTAGTTGTTGCGCGCGCTTCAACTACGGCTCCTTGGACAAACAACCTCAATTCAGGAACAATCGAGAGAATTCTGAAAGTGTCCGTGCGCATTTACAGGGAGGTGTACACCATTCAACATTGCGTTAACGGACTCTTCAGGGTTAAATTTATAAACATGTAACCTTTAAAGTTGAGAAACGCTAATCAATCACTTTTCTTAGAAAGAGAAAAGCAGTGATTCCAAATCTGCTCTTACTTTAGTACATAATCGCCCTTAAAAGGATATACAGCCGTTGAAATAGTGCCAATGTAGCGAAAAAGTACCTTTCGGCGGTACTCGTGCAAAAATCCTCAACGTAGCCGTTTTTTTAATACTGGACGTTTGGAGCAGTTCTAGTAAGCATTTGATAGAGCAAATCTTCTAGTTTATGATGGCGTATTTACTTTTCGGATTGGATGAGTTTGAACGGAGTTATGGCTTTAGGAAGTAAAAAAACTCGCACTCATCACGAATTTTCCTCGTTAATTTTGCAAAAATCCTCAACGTGGCCATTTTTTGAGTACTGGACGTATGAAGCTGCTTTAGCGACCGTTTGATAGAGAAAATCTTCTAGTTTTGTATGACGTATCAACTTTTTGAATTTGACGGAAATGAAGCAAGTTATTGCTCCGGAAAGTGTAAAAACTCGTGCTCGTCTCGAATTTTCCTCGTTATTTGATCTAAATTTGTTATTTCTTATAACTTCCTGTAATTTCAGTACTGATTAGAAAAAGCTCTTCACAAAACTCCCAAATCAGCTTTCAGATTGAAAATTCGTTAACTTTGAAGAAAGTTATAATCATTTGAATATTTGTTCAAATTTCAATAGTAAATAAGCTGCTCCACGGTCAACGCCAAAGTCCAGTCAACACACAGCTGGCGAAGGCTTTTACAAGGCTTCCTTTGAGCGAAAGGGGGACGTGTAAATTGAGAACCATAATCTGTGTAGTACTAGAATTTGGTAAGTCTTGTGGAGGAAATAAATAAAGAACAGATGTTGTCATGGTATGCCATTTTTAGTGGCTAGTTTGTCGTTTTCTGGTCTGTTTCTCGTTTGCTCGTTTGGTAGGACTCATCAATAATGATTATTCTTTGACTTTTTCACTTTTGTACTTCTTAAACGAATTTTTTTGTGGGCGGGGTGGGGTAGCAGGGCTTTTTTATGAGCAGTTTTGGGGGAGAATTAAACAAGCTTTTCAACCTTTTCATAGTTCGGCTTTTGAAGAGGGTTGTTTCATGGACTTCGGCCTCCGGCGGAGGGTGGTGGGGGGGGGGGTCGTATTTCCAAATTTTCCTCAACGCCTCGCTTGACCCTGGTCGCAGGCATCTTAAGTTGAGGTTTGGATGGAGCAGAAATTTCACTTTTATGATATCTCATTTTTTAGAGCAGCACCTAAATATATCATTTGACATTGTGAACCAGCAAAAGTGACTTTTCGAGGGTTCCTATCTGTTTTCGCTTTTCAGCCGATTAGCTACCTTGTTCAGCGAAAACAACACCCATTGAGAACAAGGTTCTCAAGCTTTAATTATTTCCGGTGTAAGTTAGTGCAGGGCAAGCGGGTCAGGTTCCATAGCAGTACATAAAGCAGAGCCTCAATAATATGCAGTGGTGGAAATAAAATCTCACATTCAGTGCTAGTTGTAAGTACTTTCAAGATTTGACGACAGGATCAACGTCAAGTCACCCCAAAATTTCTAATTTTTACACTTGTGTGGAGGGCGCTAAACCCGAGACGCCTCAACTGCGAATGGTAATTGAGATGTCCATTGTATTTACCACTGTACTGCTCTACAACTATAAGTACCCAACTTACCTCCACAATTACTTTGGTGTTGGCGTCGAGCGGAGAAGTCCTTTACACCCAACCCTCTCCATCCAAAATCCAGATACAACGGTGGGAAACTCCCAAAGGACGGTTGACCCAGTCGCATGGGGAGTACCAGCGCTTGGTATCTTATTGGAACGCGGCACTTAAAGGCAAACCCCGGGTAAAAACGGTGTACAATAGGGTCTCGTAGTGATGACTGAGCTGCGGAATGAACTGAAACTGGAAAGGAAAGCAAAAGAAATAATAGGGAACGGTAAAATCTAAGGCCTCTACCTTCAGTAAGGTAGGATAAGTTACGACGGCGAGACGTGACGACCAAGGAAGACGAAACACGCAAGAGAGCATGCCATTCGAGCACAATCGCGGTGAGTGGGGAACATTGCAGCTTGGGCCGATTGTTGCAGGCCTGTAATGAATAATTAGCATCTTAATCGCGCAAATTGTTCAACGAAGCTGGCATGATCTATGTAGGTACGAACCTGGGAATTTCCTTCGGGTTATTCGTTCTACTAGTCGGGCTAGTCCCGGGGCTTGCCTTTGAGAAGAATCCGATTGTCTGTTCTGTTCTAGAAGATCATTCGTAAGTTGGTTCCATCTTATCAGTAAAGAGCTCAAGGCAAGAATCAGGATTACATTGATGGGTTGATTCCACTCAAATGTGAAAGTAGGGATGGGAGGTGGACCGCCAGGAGAAAAAAGGAAAGAAAATCCTGAAATGCACAGGAAATACGAGCATTTTGCTCAATGCTGTGGAGAAGTTCAAAAGACAGGGAGGGAGATGAGAGATAATGTGAGCGCAGAGGGTGGTAGAGAATTCCGAGAAGAGAGAGCATAGCAGATCAACGCAGCGAACGCAGACAAGACATCGATCGGTGGGCGGACCATGTTATGTTTGGTGGAGTCTGTTAGAAGTTCATGGCGCCTAGGGTCCTGTGACGGGTTTCGATGTAGAAAGGTGGCGCTAACTTTGCACTTGGTGCCCAGCACTTCTAGCCATGGTAAGGGCTTCTTAGGTGGGTCTGAGCCCGAACTTTGCCTTTAAGCAAAATGAAAGGGGGTAACTGAGTGGCAATTTGGAGCTCTAGGCATAAAGCAATCGGCGGTTATAAGTACATCTCTTCTGAGATGCGCCATGCATTCTACTCTCTTTCGGGCTGTAGTGGCACTTGAATGGGATTCGCAAGCAGTACTAATAGAATAAGTCAGTGTTTGATCCTCCCAGAAAAGTTTGTAAAAAATTGAGGAGAAGTTGGTGTGCTGCTAACGACCATCAAAAAATGACAAAGTTGTTGGCTTAGACGCGGTACGATCTAGGTTTGATCCCCGAAATGCTCACCTTTATACGGCGCTGCTTGCCGCTACACCACTTCCGCTCCGAGTACACATTCAGACTGCATACAATTGGCTCATAATAATTGGACCTTTTTTAGAAAGGAAACATGGCGATACAATGCAGTCATCAGCGGCAGATGATTCGATTCGAAAGGAACCTAATTATTGAGAAATCAGTTCCAATTGTGCCGGAGTACAAAGAACATCGCTCTTTCGCAAGGCGCAACAGCAACGTTAGCATCTTACTGACCCCCTCGCAAGGCCGAATATGTTGAGAGTTGTACCAAGCCGTAGAAATTGGGTTGTACCAACATTTCTTCCTAATGTACTTCTCGCGGGTGTCAGATGCTCCGGTGTGTTGGTTGACAGAAATGGGTCAAGGCAAAGGTAAACGGCACCAGTCATGCCCCTTTTTTTTTTAGGTCGAAACAATCCAGCAAACACTTCCGCTGTAAAAGATTTTCCGTAAAGTACAAAGCCAAAATAACTTCGATGTTTGAAGAATTGATTCTTTTTACGCGAAAGCCCTGAATAGCACTCATTCTCACAAGGAAGTTTTCGGGGTTGGCCACAAAGCTCCAGAGAAAAGAAAGTTGCTCGTATCAGTAAAGGCTTCCGCTTTGGTACCGCCAAGGCAGAAAACCGCTCCAAGTGTGCCTACCTCAGAGGTAGGGTGGAAATGAAGCAGTGGATGGGAACGTCACTTATCACCTGCACGCTACAGTTTCTGATCATGTCAACCACCATATCATCCCTTCGTGCCAGCAATTTGAGGGAGAACTACATATAAAGCGATATGGGAGGTTATAATACCGCCTCCAACTGAGCACTTTTGCAGTAAGTCATAGTGTGGAACAAACGAACTCAAACGATTCTAAGATTCCGAGTGGAAGATGAATGAATGGCGTTCCCAACGGGTTGTTTCTACAGTAGCTGTCAGAAATTGCTCAAACGTATTTTTATTGTCAGAATTTGCTTTTTCGAGGGGTTCTCTTCCTAGTATTACTGAATCGTCTCCAAATTTGCATCAATCATTGACTAAGTAATTTCTAACCGACAAGTCGGTGTCGTACGAATGCCATGCCTATAAATATAGAGCACCTTCCAGGATCTAAAAGCATTCGTCTGCCTTCATAACTGCCTCTCTGCTGCAATGTGGTCCAACTCCTTTTCGG